AGACATGAGTCTGTGTGGACAAGAATGTTCACGTTGTGATCCAGTTCATATTAATCTACTTTTTTTCTTTAAAAAGGCTAACCAGCACATTTGATATACCTCCTCACTGCTCGTAACGGAAGCCTGAGCGCAAAAACAAAAACCAAGAGCCAACATTTGCCGGCATTTTACGCTCTTGCGCCATCTGGCGCCCGGATGACTCATTTGAAACCAGCGATTTCTGCAGAAATATGCCCAGTTGTTAAAATGGGCGGATCACACACGAGCACAAGGGGAGTGTCATGATATAAAGCGAAAGTGTGAACATAAAGAAATACCGCGGCGACAGCGACGATGGTCTTTACCGGCCTGGTTTTATTTAGTGAACATGTTTTAAGTCACTACCGAGGTGTCCGATGGCTCTGGTTTCACTGGCTTTCCCCGTCTGCGTTATGATAGTTTGTTGGCCTTAAAGAAGCAGTGACTGCTGCTTATCAAACAAATCAGCAGATTTATTTTAAAAACAGCATTCAGTCTCGACTTGTTTTGGAAACAGTTTTATTTGTAGTTCAGCAAATCTCATCATATCCGAGGAAGCATTGACTAAAAGAATCCTTGTAAAACTTTCCAAAGGTTGCTGGTGTTACTCTACTAATATGCAACCTGTCTCAAAGCGAGCCTTTGCTTTTAACATTCAGCCTGCAAGCCATGATCAGAGAGAATGTGAACACACAGCAACGTCAGACACGATCACCACCCGCTTTGTCGTTATAAAAGACCGGGTCTAACAGATATTTAAGACTCAAGTAATGCTGCATAAACAGCATAATTTGTCCAGGTGTTTTTCAATATTTCCATACTGACCAACCCAGTAACAGTTTAACACTGGTCTTGAGTACCCATCCAGAACAAACACTGTGAGCCGTACCTTGAGGCCAGCCGCAACATGTGGAGGAGCGTCTGTGATCTGTCGCTCATCACTGGAACTTCCTCTCTTAAGATCAATGACAGGCGCCAGATGACTGTGGAAGATTTAGCAGTGAAGAAATTTCATGACTAGACTTGTTGCCATCCTATCACAGTACCACACTGGAATTCACTAAGCTCCCG